TGAAGCCGGATGGAGAAGGCCACATGTGGTGCAACTCCATTTACATGAAATGTCCAGAATAGACAAATCTTTAGAGACAGAATGTCGTTAGTATTTACCAGGACCTGGGGGCTGTCGGAAATGAGGGATGACTACTCACAACATGGGGTTTCTTTTTTGGATGATGAAAATGTTTTGGATTTAGTGGTGATGGTGCACGATTTTGAGGATACGAAGAAACCCTGAATTGTGCACTTAAAAAAATGTTCAATGCGTGAATTCCGAGAAAGCCAGCTTGAAGGATGAATTTCTGGGACTCTCTTACCTCCCAGAGCTGTAGTTTGTGTCTGACTCACCACTTCAGAGGGATTCTATGGTTTTCTTACTTTGGTTTTCACAAGAGATAGTGTTTCCATTTTGGGCAAAAGTAACAGCAGGGATGCAGCCCCCATCTTGCTTTAGTAAAGGCATCAGTGATAATCTGGGAGCCGGAGACGCCAAGGTTTATCTAGGTTTTATTTAGCATAGCAATTCACCACGGGGCTTGAAAGTTTTTCTTATCTGGTAAACATGTATTTAAACGTCCTCTCAGCCTTGAGGGTAAGACAAAACTGTCTAAGAAATACCTTTAGTCATGAAACATAGGACACTATTGATCAGAGGTTTTTTGTTAGGAACTGGCCACTTTGGGGCACCTTTTAAATTTCCAGACACATTTTTGGACTTTCTGAGATACATCAAGAGCATTTCTCAAAAGCCACGAGACCCACTTTCTTTCTTTAGAACACACTTTCTTCCTTCTCAACGCTATGGTAGAAACGCATGCGCATAAATGCATGGGCAGGTGCGCGCACATACACGCACAGACAGGCACACATGCACGCGCACGCACACAGGCCCGCGCGCGTACACACACAGGTGCACGTGCACGCACGAATGAGCTAGCGTGGTCTGGATGTTGTAGGAGAAAGAGATGTGCCCTGACTTTAGTACAAGCTCTCTAGTGTTAACGATGTTAACAAAGAAGACAATGCCATCTTTGGATTCAGATACTCCACATCAGCGATTTTCAACCAGTGTGCTGTGGCGCCCCGGTGTGCCATAAGAGGGTCTTAGCTGTGCTATGAAAATGTTTAAAGACCATTAATTAAATTATTTTTGAAATAAGTTCAAATCACAGTAAGTGTATATATATATATTTTTTTAGTCTTTGTTGGGATCAACATCATTTAAGTGTGCCATGGAAGCTTCACTATAGATTCAAGAGTGCCATGAGATAAAAAGTTTGTAAAACACTGCTTTACACAGCCTTGGTGGGACGTGCACTTACCGTGTCAACACCAGCCGGTCCTTGCTCTCTGGGAAGCTAAGAGGATGCTGGTTTGGGATCTCTGTGCTCGTGTGCTAGACCGCCAGGGCCCTCTGGGTACAGATGCACGGGCGATGGGATCTGCTCACCAACCAGAGATGCCCAGGTCTCTGCTGTTGTCAGAGAAGTTGCCATCCTAGCCGCCAACAGAGACCACTAGGGACCAGGGGACAGAACTCATACTAGGTTTTCTGGCCAGGGACACAGCCTTCCTGGGACCCCTGCAGTTGTGAGGCCCTTGGGCCATCAGAACTGACTGGGCCACATCTATCATTCTTTTCATATGAAAGCTCAGACTGGTACCTTGGGTCTTCTTATGGTTGAGGAGTCTGTGCTTTACGGCAAATAAATGACGTTTGATTCCAACGGCACCCCTGGTATACATGCCCCTTATCTCTCCATCGCCTCCTTGGTAGTATATTCACTTTAGACTTTTTCAAAAAAAATTTCAGGTTAATTAGAGGGTACAAAGAATCAGGTCACCGCGTTTGTATTTGTGAAGTATAGTCCCTGTTGTAGTTGTGTCCTGCCCCCAGATGGTGTGCCATGTACCCCCACAGTGTGCCCATTAAGTGGGAGCACACTACTTAGAGTGCCCCAACACAAGCTTGTAAGAAGGCGTGCAGGGCTCAAAACACTACCCAGAGCTCTGTGGCCTCCTCCCCCAGACCCTGTGGCTGAGGCTGCTACCACCCTGCCCTACAGTGCCAGACCTGTTTGCAAACCATACACATGGCTGGAGGTGCCAATAAATTGGAGCAGGCAGGCGGTTCTTCTGGAATATTTCATTGTTCTAATCACCAAAGGTGACGGTAGACTCTGAGCCTTATTTCTGTAGGCTCCCCCCCTAAAAGTTGTCACATACTTTAGTCTCCTTTTGGAATGAGTCTGTGTGTTGCCACTTGGGGAAAGAGGACGGTGCAGGCTTTTACGAAGATCCTGGTTTTAATGGGCTTCACCTGTTTTGTATTCGAGATCAACAAAACACGGCTTAACACAAAATGTGATCCCCTTGATTTTGTTCTACAGTGGTGACTCTCTGTGGCGCCCTTCTGTGTTCTGTGCCACTTGGCGAATGATGTGGCCGACCATGAGGTGTTTCTTCGTGAGCTGCTTGATACAGGGTGCACTTAATAAACACGTTTTCCATGCATTGCGTTGCCCTCATTCTCCCTCCCAAGAACAGGGACCGTACCTGGTGGCTTGCAGAGCCCCTTTGCACTGCCAGGCTGCAGAATTATTTGCTTGATTATGACAGGCACGTGCACTATGGTAGAGGGCAAGAAAGGGACCCAGTCCCATCCTCTGTTCTCACAGCTGCATCCATTTCTCAGAGCTCTGTGGGAAGATGCTTTAAAAGTCCCAGGATTTCATATAATGTGCCCAAACCCACTATATGCTGTGCTCTAATTCTGTAGATAATAGGATTATAGACTGTTACCTTGAAGGCGTACTTGGGGCCCACCGACAAGATCACCAATGAATTCTGTTAAAATGCAGATTCCTAGGCCCCACTATTGAGTCAGACTTGGGAGCTGAGCCCAGAACCTGCATTTTAACTGGGAGTCCCTGGTGGGCTGAATGGGAGGGAGTGCAACTCTGTCCTCCTGCCCCGGGCCCATTCTCATGACACCACAATGTGCTTTCCTGAGTGCTGCTTCTCAAGGGGATTCCCAGAGGGAGCAGAACTCCTCAGCTATCTTGCTTCTCAAATGTGTGTCCTGTCCCCAGTTCTATGAACCTCACGGGTAACTGAGCACCTGCCAGGGTCTGCCCTGAGGGAAAAAGCACGAGCTTGGAAAGTCAGAGTTGTAGTTAAAATCCAGTTACAGCAAATATGCGGAGCATGAAAATCTCTGCATCACCTAAGATTCCAAGTCTGAAGTGGATGTCCTACAGATTTAAAGAGACATTTGAGACTGGAAGCCTTTGAGGAGGATGTAAGTAGCCCTGGCCTTAATCCTTCTCAGCAGGAGGAGCCTGGGCCCTCGGAGTGCACTTGAGAATGGAGAAAGAGCCTGGGGGGGGGGGGCAGGGCAGTGGGCTGAGGCCATAGCACTAATGTTGTGCTGGGTGCCTTCTGGTGAGTCTGCTGAACTGTCTGGGCTGAAACTTTCTCATCTGTAAAAACAAGGGATGAAAGAAGTTTTTAGGGGTAAAATGTACTGACACCTGCAATGTGTCTGGAAATGAATAAAGAAAGACGAGATGGGTGGAGAGAGGGATGGATAGATTAGTGGCGATGGGAGAAAGCAGAGTGGGGAATGGTCATCGCAGAGCCCAGATGGTATGTGTATGTTAATCAGTGTTCACTGCAAACCCTTTCAACTGTTCTGTGTTTGAAATTTAGAAAAGATACTAGAAAAAACCAAAATGAGTAAAATTTCACAGCTGGAATGGACATTAGAGGCCACTTTATGGATGACCATAAATTGTGGGAGAGGAGAAACAGAAGCAGGACTCAGACCAAGGCTGCCTGTGTCCAGGCTCCCAGGCCATGTGTGGTCCAGCCATCGCTCTGCCCTGCAAGGCTGGAAGCTTGGCGACACTTGATGCTTCTGAACACCCCCAAAGTGCTGTGCACTCTTAATTATACGAGACTTAAATGGGTGTTGCATGAAAAAAAAAAAGACGGAGAAAAGGTAAAATAGGATTGGAAGCATTATTCTAAATAGGGTTCCCAGGTTTCTCTGCTGCGGGACTGGGCAAGCCTTTACTGTGCCATGATCTATTGAGAACCCTTTCCCAACACAAGAGTCCTGGGTTGTTTTGTAGCCCTGTGTGTGCATGTGTGTGTGTTTGGAGGAGGGAGGGGGCAGCACATGCCTTTTCTATTGCTTTTTATTTCCGTAGCCAGTCCACACATGCACACATTAGAGCTCATGCCCTCATCACATCTCTTAGGGAGATGGCACTCCCAAACGGCAGTGCCTGGCATGCCCAGGCCTTGATGTCAGGGAGGTTTGAACCCAGGCCCTGCCTTCTGTGGTACCCAGGGAGGGTCATTGCCCCTACCCCTGCCTCTGCCAGCCCAATGGCTGTTTTCTTCTGTTGGGGCCCATTGCCCTCAGGGGCAACAGAAGTCATTAGGATGCAATCTCCCAAGGAACATGGGGAACAGATACGCCAAACAAGTTAAATCCCAAGGGCAGACAAGGATTTGACGAAGTGAAGGCACCCAGCTTTTCCTGTTTCTATTTCTCAGGACAGTGAAATGTATTTTTGGAGCTGGTCAGGATACATACCAACCTTTCCAACACAAAGAAAACACAGCATTCTCCAGTGCAGCCGAAACCCTTTATTGGAGCCACCTTCCTAACGCCAATAGTCACTGGCCGCTCTCCTGGGTGCGCGTGGACAGGTCGACCCCGTGTGGGGACTGAGTGCTGGTTTATGTTGTTACAGTACAAGTGAACACAAAGACTTGCAATAGCTGCCTCTTAGCCGTGACCTTCACTCACAACTGCTCATGGGGGCCTCGTGGTGGGATCCGGCCAGAGTGAAGGGCCACTGTGCTCATGTGGCTGGGCTGTCTGTCCTTTATGGCTTTTCTACATCGTCTGCTCTCATCTTTGGGGGAAACTAAGCAGTTCCTAAAGAGAAAGAGCTCTCCGGTGGCCCCATGGAGCAGTAGCAGGAGGTCAGCGCGGCCTGATGCCCCTGCCCCGCTGGCCCCATTGCCCCGCCCCACCTTAGACTTCTTTTCTCAGCATCACCTTGATGCTGCTGCACATCTGGCCCAGGGCAGCGAAGAGCGGGTTGCAGAAGGTGCGGATGCAGAGCGAGTAGATGTGGCTGATGCACTGGATCTCGATCAGGTAGCTCTTGATGCAGGGCACCACCGCCCAGATGTGGCAGAAGGAGATGCAGGCGAACAGGAAGCCCCAGAGCAGGGCCAGCGGGACGCCCAGCAGCGTGGACAGCAGGCGGTAACACCAGTACTTGGAGACGGTGAAGGTGGTGTAGCTCACTTTCCACACGCCATCGAAGCTGTAGGTGCCCACGGGCTCTGCGATCACGTCTTCGAAATCCACCTGCAAAGGCGGGATGGGGAATGCTCAATTCACAGCATCTACCCACTTCCCAGAATCTCCCGGAGGGCTTGCTACAGCCTGGTGGCTGGACCAGCTCTTGGGACTCTGACCCTGCAGTTGAGGGGGTGGGGGGCTGAGGTTCTGCATTTCTAACAGGCTCCCCAGCAACACTGCTGGTTTCCGGGTGGCACTGAGCAGCATAATAGTGAGCCTGTCCCACCCTCATCTTACAGATGGATAAACAGGCCCAGGCAGTTGAGCAATTTGCTTAAAGCCAGCAGTAAATTAGAGGTGGCACTAGAGCCACAGCTCTCAAGTGCTCTTTTCTGATCCTCAGGGTGCTGGACAATCATATCCATCCTGCAGAGACTTACTGGGCACCTGTGGGTAGAACAGTGGACAGCATAGGCACTACCCTCATAGGGTGGGTGGCAGGCATTCCTGCTACACTGAAAGCGTCAGTGAAGGTGAGAACGAGGTCTGTGTCCACCCCTGTACCCCAGAAAGTAAAGAGACTTGGGGTTACAGAAACTTCCTTGGAGAAGAGACATCAAGCTCAGCTGATACCTGAAAGCAGCCAGTGGAGGGATGGGGTGTGGGCTAGGAAAGCCACCAGGGCAGAAGCAGTGACTGCCAAGAGCTGGTGGGAGGGATCACATGGTCTCAGGGACACACAGGTGCTTCTGGATGGCTGAGTGCCAGGCTGGAGTGGCCAGGGTGAGGCTGGAAAGGGGAGACTGGCCAGCTCTAGTGCCATGAGCCCTCAGACGCTCTTGCACAGGAGCGGCTCAGTGAGAGCTGGGTTTTGAGCATCTTGTTCTGGCTGTTGCAGTTGGGGTGGTGGCAGGGCTGGAAGTGAGGATGGTGTGGGACCAGCTGGGAGCCGTTGTGGATGGTGCCTGGTCCAGGGTGATGGTGGTGAGATGGAGAGAGGTGCCCAGGTCTGGCAGCTAGTGTGGCGCGTGGCAAAGTGAGGTCCGTGCAGTCCCTGGGAAGAAGTTCCTCGGCCAGCAAGGCTGCCTGGTGTCTTGAGTGTGGCCAAGCTGCCCCACAGAACCTCCTGGAGGAGGCCAGATCTTACCCTAGGCCTGCAATGACCTCAGCCCTTCCTCTCCTCCTCCCCACCCGAGTCCCTCCTGTCTCCTTTGCTGCTGGAAGGAACACGTGTGCCTGGTGACTCCAGTTCACACATCCCACAGATCAGGTGACTGAAACCCCATTCGGGGAGTGAGAATAAATAATCTGTGACCCCCTCCTTTACCCAACTTTTCCTGAGTCCTTGCCATGCAGTTAGCATTAGTGGCCTATGCACAGGCAGTGTCACCCTGCATCACTGAGTCTGAGCTCTTGTCTGTGAAATGGAAGCAATGACCATCCTCCAGGGGGTCTGTGGGGATGAAAGGAGGGAAGGCCAGAAAGACCACCAGACAACCGAAAAGCACTGAGCAGACAGAGGGGCTCCAGGACGGGTCTCCCCGGGATCATTACCAGAGGGGCCTAAACCCTTCTTTCTAGCAGTGCTCCTGGGCCATTTAAATAAAAGGCAGCTGAATGAAAGCACAGCCTAGTCAGACCAACAGAGGGGCATGTGGGGGCCACACGGACCAGAACCCACACGTCAATCTCCCAGGCCCTTTCCCACTTCAGTTGTGGGGAGGAGTTCCCTTCCTCTATGTGCGTCATTATTACTAAAATTACTTCTCATTATGAAAAACAGCCACATCACAGAAAATTAATTGAAAAAAAGAGCAGAAGAGGCCCAAGCTTGCATTTTTCTAACACTCAAGGTCACATTTTGGTGGGCTGCCTTCCCTTTCAGTGAGCCCTGGACCTGGGTCTGGCCGATTGAGGTGTCCTGACCTCTGTGGTCTGCCCACCCCCATCAGGGCCAATGTCCAGCCTATGCCTCCTAGCTCACAGCCTGGCTTCTAGAGACACTTTGTGGCCTCAGGAGCTTTTGCCAGCACAGGCAGTATTTGGGCAGAGAGCAGCCTCTCTGCCTTTGTCCCGGCAGGCCCTCTCCCTTCTTCCCGCTCCTGCTCAGGGCCTGGTGGCTCCCCTGTCTCTCTTGCAACTATTCCTTAGGACCAGGGCCTCCCCACTCACAGGTCACCCAGTCGTACCTCCTCACCTTGTAGGTGGGTGATAGCCCTGACTGGGGACCTCATAGGATCCAAGCTGAATCTAGGCGTCCCGACCCTGAGCCAGGGCTCCTCCTGCTGCCCCTGCTGGGTCAGACCCTGCAGTAGCTGCTGGCTGTGCTGTGGCTGTCCCCTCCTAGGTCTGGCCCTTGTCAGAGGAGTGCCATGGTCACCCAGCCAGCTCTGAGAGCCAGCGATTTCGGCAGCCCTGCTGCTTTGCCCCTTTATCCTAAAATGTTCCTTCATTCTTTGACTCTTTGTGCTTATCCTCTCGGAGGCAGCGGAGTGAGGACAGCCCTGGCTCTGAAGTCGCCCCACTGAGGTTTGAGTCCACGGCTCCTTATTGGCGGGCTGAACTTGACCAGGTCACGTAGCTTTTCTGTGCCTCATTTTCCTCACTTTGTCTCCTTAATTTATTTAAACCTCCTCGGTTGTCCAAGAATTAAATAAATTAAGATGTAAATACTCAACATAGCGCCCGGCATAGAGTACCTGGCTAATAATTGCTAGCTGTCATTGGTACCTTTTACAGAGTGCTTTCTGTAACAGAAGCTAGAGTCCCAAAGGTGGGTTTGCATACAAGGGCAGTTACTGACCAGACAAGTGACTTTGGCAAATCTTTGGGAAGCTCTCTGAGCTTCATTTAACTCATCTGTAAAATGGGGCTGCTGTGAGGAATCGGGTTAATTTCTCTTCCATTTATCCATCTAGCCATCCATACCCACCATTGAGCCACCTACCCACACATTCATCTGTCCATCAATCCAGCACCGTCCAAACAATATTCACTGAGCGCTCACTTGGTGCTAGGTGCACCAGCTCTTGGGCAGTGCTTAACACAATACCTGACATGTGGTAGGGCCTCAGGGATGGCAATTATTTGTTTATGTGCTCTGAAAATCCTATGAAAACAGATTTCAGAAATTCTGTGGGCACCCCAGCTCATCCCCCGGCCTCCCTAGTTATAAATCCATGCACGTGGGTCTCAGTCTACACTGAGGAGACAGATGGAGTTCTCCTTCCCCTCAGTTTCGCTTATTGTAATAGTCCCCGCCTCAAGTTCCTCTGTTATGTCTTTTAATTGTTATTACTTTTTTGCAGAAGCCGTTGGTGCTGATATTTGAATTATTTCTGGAGTACCCTTCAGGTGCTATGTGTGGGGTGACTGCTCTGTCTTCTGTGAGTTGGAAAACCTGCTATCAGAGGGCCGGGTAAGGCAGCTGTCCCCCTAACTCGGATGTGAGCATTCAGACAATGTGCTGGTTTGGGGAGATATTTATAAGAGCCGGCTCAGGAGCCTCTAGGCAGCCGTGCCAGCACATCAGAAGTGCACAGTGACTTCATTTCTTAATTTGTTTCCAGAAGAGGAGAGGACAGGACTTTTTTCTTGCAGGGTGATGGGCTGGGGGCCGTTCCCACCGCTGAGCCTCAGGGTGCTGTGTGCTGCTGGAGAAGGGGGCTGACGGGTGGGGAGGAGGGAATGACGGCTGCCCATTCGGTAGTGCCCCTTTTCTGGCATATTTATTTTTGGAACAGTAAGAGAGCCAGTTGATTAATCGGAACCAGCCAGCACAGCCCCCGCAGTGTCTGAGAAGGCGACAGCAGAGCCAGCCGTTGCCTGAGGATGCAGGGAGGCCAGTGGCCACCCCCGGTCAGAAATACCTCCCTAAGTCCTACATGACTCAGTCCTTGGACGTCCAGGCCCTGGACGATTCAGATAGGATGTCTGTAGGTGGGGAAATAGCTTTAGCAGAGGGTAGGCAAACTCAGATTGGCCGCTGAATTACTGTGTGACTTGGGGCTTGGTGCTTTCCCTCTCTGGGCTTCTGGTTGGATTTTTTTTCCCTCAACTCTACACAGAGAGCTTTGGGAAAGATCCCTAGTGACATGGAGTTAGCGTTGGAGTCAGGAGACCAGAGCGAGTGGCTTAGCTTTGCTGGGTCCCAGTTTCCTAAGTGTTGCCTTGCTACTTAAAAGGCAGTCCACAGTTAGCAAACCTCCATGCCTAGCCCAATGAGGAAATTATAGAAATCGACAGTGAGCACTTAGAGACATTCATAGCAATTTGATGCAGTACTTTTATGACTATTGAATCTAATAATAAAAATTGAAGCCTTGGGTGGTACCTGTGGCTCAAAGGAGTAGGGCGCAGGCCCCATATACCAGAGGTGGCCAGTTCAAAACCCGCCCTGGCCAAAAACTGCAAGAAAACAAAAATGAAAGCCTTGATCTGTATGCCTGTTTTTCATTTCATTCCTCTAGTAATTAATTTTTATTGTGTTTTACAACAGTATGGGTGTACAACAGATTGGCAGAATAGTAATATAACTGGCCCTTTACTCAGATAGTTTGAAAAGCATTAGCCCATAACATAAGAAGCTAGAATGAAGTGACAGCTGCAAAAATAGCTTAAAAATGGCAATGCTTTGCCACTTTTTTTTTTTTAATAGCTGGCAATAACAATAATAGAATTCTATACAATCGAGGATTTGTATTAGGCCCTTGTGGGTGTCAGTTTTGGGCCACGTATCTTATATCTGTTATTTCCTGTGGCATGTAAGGGACTGGCAGAGCAAAGCCGGTGTTTGCCTGACATCAGACGGTGCGTCTGAATCCCCTGACATCAGACGGTGCGTCTGAATCCCCTGACATCAGACGGTGCGTCTGAATCCCCTGACATCAG